GCGAGCACTTGTACGAATGAACACGTTCTTCCAGTTACGGGCTGGAGAAGAACCGCCAGATAACTCGCAAGGTTGTGCATAGGAAAGTCTGCGATGTCCACAATGGGTTGGTGTATCTTCTACCTAATCCTTAGACCCTAAAGAGGAGTTTTCTTGTCGAAAAGCTCTCATCGCTCAGTAAATACAATGATCGGTTGTTTTTAATTCCTTCTGAGATGACCACTGTCCAATCAATTCCAAGATATTGAAATAAATGGATGGACCGTTTACCGAAGAGGGTCTTATTTTACCTTGCAGTTGTATGGTGGCGCAAGGCCCGATGTGGGCAAAACTTAACTTGCCAAGTCACCGATGACCAAACTCGGTGCCGTTTCGACTTCCAGGCTGGAGTCCACGTGATTCACCTGGTGCTTGACTTGAGACGTTACAGGACATGGCTCGCAACCGACATCAGTGGCGCGTATGCTGTCTTCTCCTAGTCGGATTGCCTGTATAAAGTGTCTTTGGTGTTGAGTTATCTGCGGAGTAAGGGCTGATTATGACGTGGGACAGTGAAAGCCGCGGAAAAGCTCTCGCCGATGCCACCTTATCTTTGCACAATAGCCAGTTATTTGTGATGGTATGTTGTTGACAAGGCACAGGCGCTTCAACCCCGAGTGTTTGTTTAAGACATTAAAGTTTTACCGTAGGTCGCCCTACTCTTCCTCTTAGTGTACTTCGGCCCATAAGTCACCATAGTTGTACGGAAGTGAAGCATCAGTTCAAGCGGCTGATGTACTGCTGTTGATGACGATGATGAATCTGTCAGCAGCCGGGTACCGGTTTCTGATCGATTTTCCTGATTGGAGAATTGAGACAGGAACGGAACCGTTCGTGGAATATAGTTTGGACCGGTTCAGTTACGGTCCCGGTGAGGACCACTCCAAGTCGTGGCGCAAACTGCACTTGGGTTTTTCAATGCGTTGACACAAAGAGTATTCCAAGTAAATCAACAATGAGCTCGTAACGGTTGTGACGAGCACTGGCCACCAGGCTCAGTTTTGTCTGTAAGGTCTGCGGCGTCTGTCGAAAATCCAAGACTTCATGATCCAATTCCCAATGTCGTGCAAAGCTGCCTCATTAACAGTGCCTCAGTTATCGCATACCTAGTGTCCACAAGGAAGCGAAAATGCAGAAAGCGAGAAACAGACAACTCCAAATTCAATCGTTTCAAATAGAATATCTGGATACAGGTACTCTTTGTGACCTAGTTAGTTGCAGCTGCGTGTATCGATGGGGGAACATAATGTGTGTCTACCACAGCACCTTTCACTGGCATGGACGAAACACGTGTGTTATTGTCTCCGATTCGGTTTCCCAGCTAGACACCGGCGTGACACTTCCTCTGGAAGACTGCAATGTGTTTCCTCTACACCATTTAGAACATAATACAGGAAAATATCAGTAGGTTGAGCACTTCACTTACCATAGCTCCTCTGTCCGCGCAACGGCGCCAGTGAAGTTTCCTCAAGGAATTCATCATAACGTGACTAAACTGAAGAAATGCGACGACCCAAGGAACGATAGCAATGCGAAGCACCATGGTCTAATTAGGTCATTGACGAAACGGGAGTCAGATGTAAAGCCGCGAACACAAATTCTCTTGCCAAATATTCCGTTGATAAGAATTGCCGTTTCTCACCATGGCTGACAATCCTTTTATGTGATGTTGGCGGTAACAAGCGCTTGGGAAACACTTATGTAACCTAAAAGAATAAGTCGCATACAAACTTTCAAGGAGAGTGCTGATGCCCAGGAAAACGTGTTTACGCGCGGGCAACATCCAATAATTATCTATTTCATCCGTTACAGGAATCGCAGCCTACATTGGGATTGCGATCCCCGATCCACACAACGAGCACTTCAAAAGGACCCCTCACTCTCTCTTGTCACTATAGTACGTCGCTACACAATACACAAGTTGTCGACACCTACGACGTATAAAGCAGGCAGGGCACATTGGAGAAAGCAACTAGCAAAATTCAAATGGTAAAATTTACCGCGGATCTCTTCGATAACCCGCGTGACTAATTTCTTGCCCGACGCTTCTGCGTTGTGTCTTACAGACTTGCGGTGTGAGCCCATAAACAGCCCGTTCTGGGTACTTCAGAATGCCGGTGGCTACCTACCTGGGCCTAATCGCGACGAAGTCCAATCAAATCATGGAAAATAACAATTGAAAACCTAAGGATCGTTTGAATGTGTCCCCAACGGACGTGTCGAATAAGTGTGCCCCAGGTTGTAGATGGCCTGCTGGTCAAGTAAACATAGCCCCTACTCATCTCGCTAGTTACAAAACCGAAACCTTAACTCACGTGCCCTAAAGGTCTCTAGTTTCCAGAATAAGTTGGCCCAGATCGATCGAACCACAAAGGTAGGTGATTAGATGTTGTGCAAAAACGTCATATGGTTCACTTAGACGGCCTAACAGGAATCTTAAGTAGGAGCCTGACACGTCGCCTCTCGTACGACTGACTAAGAAAAGTGACTTCCTAAATCAAAGCAAGAAAAATTCCGAATAAGCCGCTTAATCTCCAACGTGGTGGAAGATCTGAGGAGTAATCTAACGGTAACACTAAGCCAGTGATAAACAGCTACGGGTCTTAAAAGAACACCAATGAGAGTATAGTGGCTGCCGAAAGTGAAATATTCCTCCTGGTCAAGGTCACCCGCACAGTGTTCACAGGGCAGCGAAAAGGGCGCAATAAATCGCCCTACTTGACACGACGGCTGACCGGACACACGGGTGTCAGACTCTGGAAAAGAATGCAGCGAAAGGTGATGTAGTTAAGGTTTCTGGTGCCGTTGAATGCTGGATGATTTCGCAGGCATTTACTAGCAAATGCCAGTAAAATACCATCGGTTGTGATAATGCAACGCTGTCCTTTAACCATAAAGAATCTACTGCTGAGGATTCACAGTATTCATAATAAAGGCTCCTGTGAGTTGCCATTAGCACCGGTAGTTAAGGCGGTAACACCAAGGCAGTTTCCTCGTGGTGTTCAGTGTCTCAGGTCATAATCAACCATGTTCCACAGATAACTCACCACTATGCTCAAGTAAGAGGCAACCCGGCTAGAAGACGATTACTAACGGGTCACAGCTGGCAGTTGCGAGACACACTCGGTGAGGTCAGGGTGGGTTACTTGGACTCCTGTCTAAAAAGTGAATCGGATCGAAAGCATTCGGTTAACCCGTCAGCATGTTAATTCCTTGTTATCAGGTTGACGACTGCCCCTCGACTTTTGTGCTACCATAGACAATGTAGGCAAAGGCATATTGGTAAGCGGGAAAACATAATCTCAAGCCAATGCAAATTACTTAGTCAACTGCTGTGTTAGAAAAGAGACGCACCCTATACGCGACTGCGTATCTCATTATTGAGGACACGCTGGTGTCAACAGTTAATCCGGAAGGAACGGAGGCCAACGGTCACAAACCGCTTGAGATCTGGCAGAGTAGAACAACTCTCGCTGTGGTCTGGTGGACACGGCAGTGCCGGAACTCAGTGCAATTCCGTGAAGATTCAGTATGTAGGGCTCTTTGACAAGCTTAGTCAGTCGTAAGTTGGGACCGCTTCCCGGCTGCCAACAGAGAGGGAAGTTTACCTCTTATTCATGCAAATTCCAAGAACAAGCGGCAACGTAGTAGGGCATGCTCGGAGTCGACGCGCATCTCCTAAAACGAGCGGTGATCAGAGTCAGGGCTACGCCTGATCTAAGTGAGGCCGTTGATAAGCAGTTGTCGGAAGAGGCCAATGACGCTGATACTAGGCATGCAGCCGTAACGGTTGGTCGTCATTGTCCGTGAACCCAGAATAAAACCCAACAGGGCTTCTAAGAAGCCTAAACAGCCTGTTTAAGAATTCATATAGCAGAAATTATTACTACGTCTGAGCCAATAACACAGTTTAGCAGCGCGTCCAAGTCGTGCTGAAGAGTGACTTTGGCGGCTCCAAGACTGCAGCGGTCGGAACACACTGTGGGTAACCATGAAGAAGCAGTTTAGCACTGTTTTATACGTTAATCTCAGTGAGACGTCCAATGGTGCAGAAGCAAGAAAGCCGGTAAAGGAGCTAAAAAGAATTACGAAAAAAATGGGTTTCAGAGACGCGGCAGAGCGATACGGCAGTGGTACAAGGAGAATGTGGCGTAAGGCAAGTGAGGTGCTGCCCCCAACCGGTTCCACCCCGCACGATAATGAGAACGCCAAAGACCAGCCGGAGCGAGTAGTGTAATCCGTTGGAACACAGCCATACACATAGGATGAAGCTAAGCTACTAAACACATCATAACTAACAACAATATCGAAGATCTTGATTACTATGCATTAACACTATTCAAACCGGTTCAGTTCTGATTTGAACTTTGCTGTTGAACCCCACTTAAATTAGCACTCAGCCCCTCATTGAGTGTAATCTCCTAAGGGGCGATCGATACGCGATTCGCTGGCCTCGTATCCTTAGCAGCAAGCACAGTATATGCGACCAAAGCCAATAGTCTACCCATATGTTCTGCTGTAAACAAGAGAAGGCTAATTTGCATTCAAATTGGTTAAAAAACATAGTAATGAGAATTAAACCCTAAAATGGCAGGATTTTCGGGGGGAATATTAATACATCAGTCGAGTTGCGAAATGGGCCGCACACAGACTGTGGTTCACGCGAACCAAAACACTTAGGAGGAATCAATCTCGAAGCTGAGGACGATGCCCACCCCAGCTCGTAACTCGTGGTTGCATCACCATTCAGCTTAAACAATGGATCGGATGGGTCGTTCGATGCGGCAAGGAAAACGGGTGAATGTGGGTATCTGAAACAAACAGTTTTACTAGACCCAATGTGAAAGTGGGATTACTATTGAAGAGGGAAGCTGCCCTCAAACGGTACAATAATCCCAAGCGCCAGCACTACATTAATCGATTCGCGAATGAGCGTTCCCAAGCCGCGGAAAAGACGAGAAGCGTGGCAAAGAAGATATTATTACGGTTGATTCATATAGAGAAAATTAGAACGGTTCGCTCGCGGTGGGTGACGGTGGAGCATCCAAGACTGTTGAATCGATAATACACAGTAGAGCGAGTGAACCCAATTGTCTCAACAAGAACTAGCCAAATGCATGCGCCCACGAGCACCAACAAAGCAAATAAACCGTCGAAAGCGGAGTTGTTGATTAGCGCGGTAAAGGGAGCGCTCTTTGATTCATTGTGAAAAAATTCGAAGGAAAATCGCCTCGTACACAACATCGCCACTAAGCAGCTTAACACCGCTGGTGCACCACCACACAGACAGAAGTAGTAGTAAAAGCGGTCAGTTAAAGAGATAAAAAAACACGACCGAGCAGGCGGTGAAGATCGAACCGCTTCGAATGTGCACAGCGATGGTCGTTGGCTTAGACCCGTAGCGCGCGCTTCAATTGGTACTCGATGGTTCGAAGAGGTAACGGACGTATGGAACATCCACGTCCTCACCGTCGGCGTCACTGCAGCACAGGTCGAAGACAAGCGCCTTCACGTGCGGGGGAATCGGTCGCTTGCTGACAGTCTCCACTAACTGACGAAGACTGGGGGAGGGGGCAGAGCAAAAAAGCTCGGTGAATTAGGCGAAAATTATATAGTACAATCCCACAAAGTGCAACAAACGAAAAAGTAAATGAACCGACTTACGGCATAGACATCCGTTCTTTCCTTCTCGATTCAGGCATGAAGAAGGCATACAGCATTGATACATCGTGCGACAACATCGTAACGTCCAAATTGTACTCTTTCTGCAAACAAAATCGAAGAGCTTGTAAACTAGTGCCACCCATAGAAGTGGGATATGCTAAGAAATAAGGGGAAGAGAAGTCAAGCGCCGAATCAGAGTATCCGAAGCTGCTATCAGATACTAGGTTTCGACGCGAGTTTAGTATAATACCAGTCGTAGGTAAAACCGAAAGATGGAAGCAGTTCGTGAACATGTAAATTCCCAGCTTGTCGACTAGCATGAACCAGTTGAAAGCGAACAAACAACAATCGGTACGCACAATTCACTGGAATATAGAAAAAAAGTGCACAAAACTAACCGAGATAGCAAATCCACAGCCGACCCGGATAACGGAACAGAGGGTTAATGAAAGATCTCGGCTTGATGTCTAGTGCTATTGTTTACTAACAAATTGGTGAGCCGTAATTCACAGCAGCTGTTCGATTAACTTGAGGATACAGTCGAAGCAGTGATGCAGTGGAACGAAAACCGGTTGTTCACAAAAGCAATGGAGATCATCGTATGAAGCCTACCCACTCAATAATCTTGATTCGTAAGCAAACGTCGTTAAAAGTACTTGACGATCCTGTTAAGCGCACCAAGTTAGGCGGAAAACTAACATAGAGCGTCTTTCTTCGGTTGGCATTAGAAAAGACTTTGATTGTCATGTGGTCTCCCGGGGCGGAGCGGTACGCTATTGAGCGCGTCCCCAAGTTGCGAATTGAAGAATGCCTTACTTGTGGAGGTAATTGCGAATAAGTCCCATTTGCCCTGCAGGCGAGATGAATAGGCAGTCGCGGACAACCAGCGGCAGTGTCTCAAAACGTGTGGGATTCTAGACTGGCCAGCTGGTTCACTATTAAATACCTTAAAGCATCACTACAAAAGGTTTGGCAAACAATCACATGAAGTGAGTGACATTTTAAAACAACCACGTGCGAGCTACATACAGAGGTCGATAAAATTTCACTTCACTGGTACAACGTTACAGTGGTCAAAGTTCACTAGATTCGCGTGAAATCCGTGCGTCTCAGTTGTGGTCGAATTGGAACAAAAGGTGCTAGTCAGAGAGTAGTTACAGACATGGTCGGCAATCAGAAGTGGTCCCTTGGAATGAACTTGTCACTGATGGGACTTGTCTTCTATACTTGGAGTTTGGTGGAGGGCTGTTGATTGTCCATTCTAACTTCAGATCTATCCGCCGAGGCTCATTAAACTGGCCGGAATAAGACTGGACGCCAGACACTAGACAGCCCTACTCCATCTATTCTATTCACGCAGTTGTTGGTCTTGGTTATTTCTATGACCTCAGCAAGTTGCCTTTGTTGGGCTGATCGCAATCCTTTCCTGATAGCCTCGACATTTTCGATGTGAATTTTGTGTCCTGTGTCTAGCGCATGCATTGCTACCACGGAGACCCTGAGCAGAGCTCTATACTCGAGCTCGTTCCTCGGAGGTCGTGATATGTGCAGACTCAAGTTGTTTGCAAATGTAGTCGTTTTCCCTGTTAGGGGTTGCAGTAGGCTCGCCAGATATCTCGCGAGTTCATGTGTGGGGGGAGCCTATACTGTCCACTATAGGTCGTAAAGGGATGTTAGACTTGTGTATCTTTGGTAGACCGTAAATTCTAGGTGGAATAGCCAATTTCGGATAAAACGTAACCACTTGCCCAAGTTGTCTTTTACGGTCTTATTCATTACCCATGAGATAGTTTTGTGCTCAACCACGTTGTATGATCCCGTAGTCAAATGCTCCTTCATTTTTTCCAAGTAATTTTTTTATTTTATTACCACTGTTGCTTTACTTTATGCGCCTTTGTAATGACAATATAAGGATCCTTTTTCAGGGTTGTTAACGTCGTGTTCGGCTGGTGCAAGATTAGGCTCTGCCGGCTGTTGAAATTTAATTATATTTGCTAATTGTGCGCGGATGTCTTCTGCCTTTTTCAATGGCAACCTCTTCATAGTAGTCTCAACTCCGGGAATCAAATCTTCTGCCCTTAGTTTAGATTTACTGATATTAAAATTCAAACCCTTTCTCAAACTCTATGCTCAGTAACACTTAATACCCTCTCTGACATGTTAACAACCTTACAATAATTCCTACTAGATACATGCTTTTCGGTATGATTATCGGCCTTAGTATTTGCAACCATCAAATGTTTGAACCCACGTAATTGCCTTTCCTTCGACTCCCGTCCTTTTGCTGCTTTAACTTCGGAGGCCTTGCAGGTTGTGTCACCGCAGTCTGCAAATCCAAGCTCAGCTGACTCGCACGGAAGCAGATTGCACCCAGATGTCCAGTTGTTAGGTAGACCCATTGTGTCAGAAATGCTTTGCCTGCTATGTGCGCTATTCTTGCCGAAGTGAGGGCACAAAATAACTTCGAAAATGTCCAGGTTATAAGGAAGAGATTGCGATCAGCCCAACAAAGGCAACTTGCTGAGGTCATAGAAATAACCAAGACCAACAACTGCGTGAATAGAATAGATGGAGTAGGGCTGTCTAGTGTCTGGCGTCCAGTCTTATTCCGGCCAGTTTGATGAGCCTCGGCGGATAGATCTGAAGTTAGAATGGACAATCAACAGCCCTCCACCAAACCCCAAGTATAGAAGACAAGTCCCATCAGTGACAAGTTCATTCCAAGGGACCACTTCTGATTGCCGACCATGTCTGTAACTACTCTCTGACTAGCACCTTTTGTTCCAATTTGACCACAACTGAGACGCACGGATTTCACGCGAATCTAGTGAACTTTGACCGCTGTAACGTTGTACCACTGAAGTGAAATTTCACCGACCTCTGTATGTAGCTTGCACGTGATTGTTTTAAAATGCCACCCTTAAGCTAATTTATTTCGCCTGATGAGGGTTTTGAGTTAAAAGCGAAAGGTTGTAAAGCATAACACGCTAACCAGTCGTTTGCTAAACCTTTTGAAACGATAACTTCCCGATCGGTTCGAAATATTTTCCAAGATACCTTAAGGTCTTGTGCGGTGCTGTGTCAAAGCCAATGTGACCGGCTATAGGGTCAATGACCACTCACTTCTGTAACCAGAGGTGAGTACCAAACGAGGAGCGGATGAAAAATCTTGCTGGCCACCGGCTTCTCTGTGAACTGCAATCAAACACAAAGGCGAATGAGCCATTTGGCTGTCAACCGTCAGCAGCTGGTTGGATGTTCAAGGTACATGCGCGAGTCGCACCGCTGCCTTGTGGGTCAGGTATCTGAGACCAAAGGCTCGGGGTGGGGTCCTTAAAGTCAACTCCCTTCCTCAGTCCGAACTACCACTGCGTGTCGTAATCCAAGGAAACAGCAGGTGTATCAACCCTTTGGCTTCAAAACACAACCATAGTTCCGTATTCAGATGAGGGGATATATGAGTACCGTGTTCCACAACCGCCTATCCTGGGGAAGTGCGGTGGATCATCATCATCATCATGATCAGCAGCAGCAGCAGCATCATCATCATCAATACGCGTTAGCCGAGGGTAAGAAACGCACCTCAGCTAATGTGGCGCAACAAAAAAGGTTAAGAAATTAAACATCACAGACGAAAAAAGCAAAAAAGTAACGAGGCTAAGAGCACATTATGTGTTGGGTAGGAATCATTGTTGGAGTTGGAGACTGAAGGGGGGGGATAAAGAAATTCACAACACAAACGCCACTGAGGTCGGCTTTTCTCCATGTCAGTTAGTGTGTCGAGCCAAAAAGTGTTCACTGTCCTTCGGACCCCAGCCCGGCAGTCGGGAAACAATAACCGACGCCAACTTCGAAGTGAGAGACTTCATTCCTCCTGGCTTGGCCTCTCCTCCTTTTTCTTCAGCCGCACCGCCGCCGTGCAAACAACGTACGTTGAGGGAGTCGGTGGGCTGGTATGCGCCACAAAAAGCCCATCTATCGGAGCCTGGCGGGTTCTGAGCGGTTCACTCACTTCCTACATCAAATACACGACGTCGAACACGCTCATCGCTGACGCGGTGCTCCCACCAGACATGATCTATGTTATGAAGGCAGCGTTGCTCGAATGTAACTAGCCTATAGGTCGGTTGATCTAACGTGCCAAGTTTCGCAACCGTACATGAGGGTTGGACGGACGGCTGCATTGTAAACTCTGCCCTTCAGAGCGAGATTGGTGACATGCCGGCACCACAAGCAGCGGAGATTGGCAAAAGCACCCAGAGCTCTCGCTATACGGTTCGTGACCTCATCTTCAATCCCACGGGCGCTAATACAGCTGCCCAGATACTTAAATTTCTGGACGAGTTCTAGCCGGTCACAGCGCAGGAGTGGGTCTCTGTCAATCTTGGAGAAGGGCTTTGTATTTCGAGGGTGCATAGCATAACCCGAAACGATTGACAGCCAGAGCTAATTTATCCAGTGCAGCATGGGAAGTTTGTGAACTGTTACAGATGAGCGCAGTGTCGTCGGCATACTCCAAGTCAAGAAGTCGGTCTTCTGGGAGGACCGCTACAGCGCTCATATGACGTTTGCGTATTTCTCGGGCACAGCTTTCCTCATCAGACAGTCTCAAAGGGCACATCGATCAATCGAATCGAAAGCTTCTTTGTTGTCTAGAAACACGACTACGATGGATCGCCAATAAACATGGCGGTACTCCAACAATGGAGGTAATGTGAAAATGTGGTCAAAAAAGCGCATCTGGCTTTCACGGGTGCCACTAAGTCTATGGAGGAGGACAGAGGCGGCCTCCCTTGAAAAATGTAACTATAACGGAGCGGCTCCAGTCTGTTGGGACAGTCTCCTACTCCCATAGATTCATTAGAAAGTTATGTAAATCATCCAAAAGAGCAGGTCCACCAAGTTCCCAAAAGTAATAATAGTAGAAATGATATGCTTAATTCGGATGAAACGCCTTTACCAGGAATAAGAAAACGCATGCGAGAGCAATACGGATTTCGTTAATAGGCCAGACGACAGCTGTGGCCGTTCCCCCGGCGGATTTCCGTATGCGCTTTTGAGATCATATTATCTGGCTACCGGGGGGCTTCACCAAACAAAGGCGAGTAAGGGCAGTCGGTTTGAGTAAAACTCGGTGCCGTGTCCGACAGACGCCAGAGACCCGATCGCCAAACTCCCCGTGAAGTAGTTCAGCGTTAATCGTTTGGTGTTACTAAGTGTTCTAACAGGACAAATCTATATGTTTACTCGAAGAGAATTAGCTATGCACATGATCCAAAGAGTTAAATTAGTCGCAGCGAAATGTGTTTACTCTTGGATACTTCAACATCTCTCTATCTTTATAGGCTACTGATGTTTCGATAACCCATACGAGCCGGAGTAATCAGTGTGGTGACTTCCTCAATGGTTTCACTAACAGAACTACTACAGCAGAAGTGAGCAAAACGCGGGACATTCACCATCATTCTCAGTCAGAGAAAAAAACATACGGTAGCCTGGAGGAACCCCATTTATTATGGTGAATCTAGTGGACACTTTCCCGTGCATTCTCACATGGCCTCGGGAGTCGTGGTGGTAACCAGAGCTAATGAAATAGTTTGAAGATAAACATAGTAACAAACAGTTGTAAGCAATCGAAGCAAAGCAGCTTTCAGGTCGAGATTTTTGGGCACACCAGTGTTCAAACACCCGCTGAAGTGTCAAGATGAGTTCAATACTCTCTACCGAGGTGGCATTTGGCTTTGGGCTCACGAGGAAAGGTGTGGTAGGGCAGCATGATGCAGGCGAGAAGTCTAAATGAGATTAATACACGATGATTTTCACATAACACTCGATGAGCCTGTGAAAAGATGAGAATGACGCTTAAAAACTAACCTAGAGGACACTTCTTTCCCGGCGACAGTAAAGACGACTGACGGTTAACCGCCGTCGTCTTGCAGCAATGATGAAAGATCTACGGGGCCACGTGTTGCGCATACCACCACATCGACTGCCGCGTCGTGTGTTGTTTGCGCGCCGACAGTGCGGATAGAAAAGAAGGAAGGAAGGCCAAGCAGTGGCCTGGTTGAGAGGGATTAAACCCTCACTTAAAAGTTAGTGTCGGTTGATACATCCGGACTGCCTGGCTGGGGTCCCAAGAACGATGAGCACGTTTGTTGGACACGCTTGCTGATTTGGCGAAGAGCCGATCTCAATGACGTGTGTGTGTTGTGAGTTTCTTTATCCACCCCCCTTTAGACCCCTTCCAATTTCCATCGCATTCCAAATCTAAGATTATATCAGTTGCTTATTGAAGGTTTCGTAGTCTGCAAGTTTAGTATCTCATCATTTTTGTATTGCGGCACAATAGCTGAGGCGTGTTCCCCACCCTAGGCTAACATGTACTGATGCTGCTGATGATGATGATAAGAGGCTTTCAGGTCTACGCGTCTTGTTCTGCCCCGACGGCATCAAATCGTGTCGGATCTTGCCGACGGTTGAGGTGGCAACACCGTTGGGAATGATGAACAAAGCATTCGGTGCAGTGTCCAAGTCGAAGCGAATTCACTGACTATCTGGCTAAGTTGTCGTCTCAGACACGGGAACCTCACTTGTGGGTGTGTGTCCAGGGTGAGTTCACCTCCTCCACACAAATGCTCCCGCGGTCAAACCTGATAAACCCAGTTAAACATCGTCTCAGAGTGCCACGGAAGCCGGAACTAACCCCTCGACCAAACCAGCGTGTGTGATCCTATCAGGACGTAAATCGGAGTTTCGGAATGAGATATCTAAGTGCTACTGGTGCACTGAGGGTATGAATGATCAAGAAACATGGGAAGAAAATTGGTACCATACGAACCTTGAAATAGTTCAAAAAATCTTTCAATGTCATTGGTCCAACGAGTTCAAAGCGGTCCCACAAGGTGAATTCCGTGGAGCAGTACTTCGATTTCACTGGAGGGACTGGTTCAAAGAATGTGAAGAACGGCACAGCGAGATCCACGAAAGCGTTTTTGTACAAAGTGAGATCTTTGTGGCCTTGAGCGAGCTGAGATAGAGACAATATGGAAGCAAACACTAATAAGGGTAACATCAACAGATGCGCTGCAATAACTTGCTTCGACAATCGGAAGTCACAATGAAATAGGCAAGGAATCAATAAGCAGTAAGCGAATGAGGCCCAAAAGTGATAGACTACTTTGGACAATTAGTGTGCCTAAGCTATGGAAGCAATGTTGACATGATCACACGATATGCGAAACAATCTGTCAGTGATTCAGTGACCAAATTCGCAAATAATTTTGTATCACGGAGTCATATCTACCAGATGAGGGTAACAGTGACGTTGACAGTGGGGTTAATGTTGCGTAAGGCACCAATCGAGTTGAGAAGTCGAGAGTACTCGGATAATGCGTATCTTTATCGCGCGATGTCAAACCGACAGCCGACGGATCTGGGCATTGAGTAAACCTGGATTTCATAAGCTGGGGATCGGGGGGGACAGGTAACATGCAACAAACCATTGCAAGCTGTAAGCTCTAATTTAGGAATCAAGTGCACCATGCTGCACCTCCACACTCGTTATGCATTTGACCCCAGATTATTATAGAGAAGTTAAATGGGTAGTGGGCCGAACAAACGGCGTTAAAACGCGGGGGCGAGTCGACAGCGTGAATGGGCCTGTGACTGACGAGATCAAGAGCACATCGACAATGAGAACAGGTCTATCAGTGCCCGTCAGCAAATGACCGTACCAGAGTCATTCCACAAGGCATAATGCGGTAAAAGCGATTGAGGTCAAGGCGCAAAAAATTGGGAGACTGAGATCTGTATATAGGGGGTATGGCATAACCAAACTGTAGGCGGTATTCAGTGCAGAATACACACAGTCAGTCAAGTTTTGACCTTCGATTTATTTTCGCTTGGATTGGAGAGCCAGGCAGAGAGCGCCAAAGGCAGCAGAAGGACAACAAATACTCCGTAAACATACATCGTCTATAGTTTGAAAGGACCTTAAACATCGGGATTTAGAAGTGTGATTTCAGAATCAGTAAACATGGCGTCACAAATGCAACAAGTTGAGGGAAACAACCAGGTCCGTGAAATGCACGCATCGATCAAACCTGTACTGAGCCCACAAGCACCGGTTTGACCAAAAACAGTGGATAAATCTATGTCTCTTCGTGAAGAGGCTGAGGTAGTACGGACGCTACACACCGAAAGAGAGAAAAACGCATCCTAAAGCTAAGAGTTATGCATAAACAAAACATGGTGCCCAATAATCTAGCATAGGAAATCAACCATCAAGAAAGTAACTTAATCGCGAGAGTGACGCAGAAAAAACGAGACAACAGAAAGATCGGTCGTTTTCGGAAGTCACGTAGATCACAGAATCTTTTAGGCAGAATGGAACGAGGGTGCAAAACGGTAATTGAAATATGTATGTATCGATCAAACAATAATCGAAGTAAGCAACAATGGTCAAAGAGTTAAACGTGTCTAACATCTTCACATCGAATGAGTGGGATCGGATTATCGCAAGGCAGAAGAGATTCTGTTGAGGTTTTTGGGGCAACTAACAGTAATACGTTGTTCTAAGCCACCATGTAAACGATGGAGTTACACGTCCCATTGCATTCGCGTTGCGTGCTTTCCAAACAGCGGAGAAAAATTATTCACGAATTCAATTCAAGAAGCGCTGAAGAAAAAGGTTCCACCAGTAGGCCTGGGGGAAATTTCGCGGGCTGAACACTGACCGTAAAACCTTACTATCATTACTCGGTGAAACCAAAGGTATCCAACAAATGATGTCACCAAGAATGCAGAGATGGGCTGTAATCTAAGCTTGCCTATAGTCACAAGATGGTTTATATCAAAGGCGTTGTGATCCATGCTGAAACTGATGTTGCATTCATGATGCTACTTCATCGCAGTTGGGCTAAACCAACTTACACTTAAACTATGTCTTTTTAAGCTAGATAAATTTTATTCCACTTTGTTCTGCCTACCTGAATAATCCTCTATTAACTGGCCACATTGCTTGCACTAGTTGTATTTATCTTCGTCAAATCTATTACGTTTGTAGCATTTTTTGTACAACTTGTAGACATTTTGCACTTATTGCGGATTCGTTGCCAACCAACTTACTTCATATGCTAATTTAGCGAAGAGTTATGTCGGCATAGCCGTATGTGTTAACAGATATATTTTATTTGTTAATCTCATTTCAAGTGATTGGCTGTTGTTTGACATCCCGGTGTGGCTGCACTTGATGTGCATATTGACAAGGTGCCTACCTGTCTATTACCCACTACCACGTCTACACTGGCTCCAGGCGACAGTTGGTCGTTGCTAAAGAGGACGGGGTGGACGGTCCTTGTGGTCGTGCTACGCTCGAAAGCGGTTCCATGCACTCAATGTGGAGCGGACTACGGTCCAGCCACCGCCTTGTGTGCGTTTTCTTCCCCAAACACATCGTGCTTGTGTTTGCCTATGAAGGAGTGTGGGCCGGTTCAGTTGATGAAACGTGGCTCCTATCCGCATGCCTCCCGGTCTTATTCCTTCGGGTTTAAACTGGATATGGGGTGTGTGGTTGGAGCTGTGGGCGGTGCAGCACAAGCCACCCATGGTCCCTTTGTAGACGCAGGTGTCCCGTGGCTGGTCACAGTGACAGGCAAATCCGAAACCGGATGTCGCCAACCATATATCAAAGGCGTCAACAACTACACAGCCGATAAGTTAAGCCCTCTACCGAAAACGTGTCCGGCCATTTGAACTGGTCCACTTAGTGTAACATCTAGACACAACAGCAATAGGAAAAGCAAGAATCCGGGGACCCAGTGTTGTCAAAGGTAAAACGCTGATTGGCTCGCTGAAGGGACAGCTTAATTGCAACCGCTCATAACACGCAGAAACGAGTTATCTATTCGACTACTGCGTTTTCTGGGGCTCGCGACTGTTCCTGCCCAGATTCTTAAGGAGCTTCACGACGCACATCTAGGAGTAGCGAGGATGTAAGCATTAGCAAGGGGATATTGCTGGTGGCCCAAAATCGACTCAGACATAGAGAATTTATTGAAGAACTGTGATATTTGCAAAGCGCATCAACGTAATAAAACACCCGGTTCAGTACACCCCCGGCGGTGACCCGACAAGCCGTAGTAACTGATGCACGCCGACTACTTTGGACCGATAAACGGAACCATGTTTCTTCTACTCATCAACGCACATCAAACATGGATTGATGTGCATCCATTCACCCATGCGACGTCTGAAGCCACTATTTCGAAAATGCGTTCTACCTTTGCTATGTTTGGCGTCCCGGAAGCGTTATGCACAGGCAATGGTTCACCTTCTATTAGTGTTGAATTTAATAAGTTTGTTACCAACAATGGGATCCCACATATCAAAATGGTCTGGTATCATCCTGCGTCGAACAGCTTAGCAGAAAGGGCTGTGCAAACGGTGAAACAAGGCCTACTAAAGCAGCGATCGGAAACTTTGCAAACGAAAGTGGATAGTTTCCTATTTGTCTACCGTTCCATACCCACTGAGACCATCCCCGGCGGAACCAATGTTCGGTAGAAATCTCAGGAGGCATCATTTGTTTCCGAACCAGCGTATTAGAGTAGAGGAGTGGCAGGGGAAATCTGTGTCATTAGAGGAGCTAAAAGATGGAAGCACATTCAGAGATCAACCAGTATACACTCGGTTACCGCATGAGCAACACTGGTACCCAGCAACTATGCTCGGTTCTGCAGAAAGTCAAAACGAGCTGCAACTTCCGGATGGCCGGATCGTACGCCGACATCCGGATCAAGCACGCTCCGGCCGAAGCGAAATCAGACTCCCGTTGTAGCACAGATCAAGTGGCGGATGGCGGGAAAACCGAGATAACAAAGGAGATGTTACTTCGGCGTTCCAGCTGAATTCTCAAACAGGTCGAATGTTTTCAAATTAGACTTGGATGTCAGCCACGAGGATGAGGGATGTCACGTGTCACCCAATGACTTAAGCTCGTTCAAGCCGGATTGATGCCATATACGCACGTATGAATGCCAAGATGCGTTTCTTACAATGTAAAACGTTTCGCGTCCTTTGTTGAATGTAATATAGTTTTTACACGTTTTCCTTCCTGGTGTGTGGTCACGCGCCAAATCATTACGGCTAACGTCTAGTTTTGACATAAGTTAAAATCCATTCCAGTGCCATTCTAGTCAGAGAACACCATTTCATGGAATAGACCTATCGAACCGGATCGGAAGCGCTTCTTGAAGGTTACACGATATGAAACAACGTTTGTGACGACGTCGCACATGTAGTTCGGAAGAGGGGTTGACGCAATAGGTCGGATAGTTATCAAACTAGTACAAGGTCAGCGGTGAACAGTTCGGTGTAACCAATCGGGGTGACACCAAAAGAGTAACGTCAAATAAAGGATGAGAATGTAAATGAGTGATGCGTCGACGCTGAAGCTACTGCATCGCAACAAAGTTAAAGAGGGTAACAAAGATGCGTTCGGAAGTTAGGATGTTAGATGTTCAAAGCATCAAGAGGACAACGTACCTTGTAAAATTCGAGACAAACTAGCCCAGCAACTATGCTGGTAGTGGTTGCAATCGCTGGGATAATTTTCCCCGCGATCAGCTTGCTCTTCAGTCGATCCGCTGGTTGTATGTCATAGCATTCGGCGCGCAAATTACTAGCCGCTGTGATGAAGTCCATGTGGAAGTTGGAATCGTCATCCTTTTCGAATTCGATCGGAATGATTTTCACATCATTGATAACACCTAAGAAAGGAACAAGACCACATGTGAAAAACTGGTATGAAACAAGAAAGCAGCAATAGATGGGGCAACTTCGTAGCTGACCGGGACGAAGGTAAGACGGTTCCATTAACTGACGAATGCTCCACTTACTGTGAACTATTGATAGTTCAATGTTAACAAATGCAGACAGGTAACCAGATAACCAGTAGCCGTCTTTATCAGGCAGGCAATTTGAGAGAAGTGCCGTCTGATTATCGGTAGTTTGTGCGTAAAATTGACGTCAGAGTTAGTAACACGCTGCGTGGATCCCATGTGAACGCCGGCAAGTTAATGGCTAGTTAGGGACTGGACTAGATATATGTTTCAGTTCGAACGAGTGCTTTAACGAGACATCCAATCCCCCAAAGTAGGTGTAATTGATGGGGACAAGCTACCACCACAGATTCCCAAGTTAGGTGAAAGTACAGCTGAGTCTGTTACATCACTTCTTCTTTGCGCTCTGCTGGGGAAAATGACTTTCCTCGAAAATTAATTTAGCGAGAGAACGAGTCGGAGCAATGAGTTAAAGCAAAAACACGCTACCAACTTGCGTGTTAATTGGACTGGCAGTTACCAAAAGTTTTAGTGGTTCATTTCGATGTTCGGAACTTTTTGCTTCAAAAGTGGTAATTCCAAACTAGACTCATGGAAAGAGCTAAGAGCTCAGCACATTTGCATCACGCCGGCCCAACTATTCTTATAAATACATTTTGCTTAGGGTTCAGTCTGGAAAATAAGCTAGTTTGCCGTCGGAACCCGATTTGTTATCGGCTTCGCCACACAGTGAGACTGGAGAGTCGCAGCAACAAGGCGGACAGGAATAATGTGCCATGATCGTTGAGGGAAACGCCACGTACACATCAGACATAATCATTACAGTCGAGACGAGGCAGTTACTCTTACACTACTACTCAATAACCCCATCCCATCCTCGTTATGGGGAACACGCTGGACTAGAATATGCCCCAGAAAATTATGTAGGGAAGAAATAGATAGGCGCAACAGCCTGCGCCGTCAGAGAATCAATCCAGGCGAGAGCTGGTTGGGAAAACACCATTATGCCAATCATCGCAAGCTCATGGCTGTCACGTGGCCACCAAGAAACCGAACAGCAAAGCTACACGAATAAGAGGGCAATAGACTACTAATGGTAGTGAGACAATAAATTGGATGATCGGTGGGAAAATGACGCCGACCATGGTGAATCAGATTCAGTTGTTGCGCGAAAGATGCAGGATTGACTGAAGCGCTGTGTGCTTCGTTATGTGCTTTGTGAAGTAAAAGTGTAGGGTGTTGCCACAAGTTGTCAAGATCATCGGATAGCCGCTAAGGGTCAACTTACCTAGGTAGCTGCACTACTTCCGGCCATAAAAGAACTGAATGCATTTGCAAGGCTTCTGCAACTTTTAAAAAAAATGCAACCACTTACGGATATGAAACATAACCTTATTGGTAAAGGTTTACAGACTGCAGCAAGACCAGTCTTACTGTGTGTGTCAGGTAGGCGGTCACTGCGTGTTGTCGAACCGTCGATGCCCGCGAAAGGCGGTACGCCGGTACGCAATACCGATGCTTCGCTGCCGCGCAACCACCACTGGTCGCATGTGGGCTGCGGATACTGCGAGGGTCGCCCGATCCCTACGCAGGCTTGAACCCGCGCCATCAGATTACAAGGCAGGCTTGTTATCATTAAGGCTACGGACCGGCGAATCAAGCTTATGTCTCGTGAAGACACTAAATGCATAATACCGAGGTCCATTGTTTGCTGTAGTGAGGCTCTGTCGTCACACTGAAGTGCCGTTGTTTAAATCGCTTGCGTCGGCCCGGTTATGTCCTTCGCACGTTTGTCAGACGGCTACAGAGCGCACTGTCTACCGACAATGCTAGAAAACACATGCAAAGAGATCTCTTTTCGATAAATCGCATCAGGCAAATATTTCTACAAAATTGATGGAGAAAACTACGAGCGAATAAAAGTTGAAGTGAAGGAGAGAGAGAGCTGGCTGGAATTATACAAAAAGAAATCAAATCGACTAGATCAGGTGATGGGAGTCTGACAAGTCGCTGACTTATTCACCAAGCTTGGCTCAGTCGAGACGTGATAACACTCGGTTATCCTCAGTATCCCATAAGGAAAGATTCTCGCTACGGCCAAGGCAAAGTTAGAGCTTGCAACAGCATCTTCTGCTTACAAAGCTCTGGTTGCGTTAGCTTAATCGCAAGCGCTTTGGCTATCCTTAGGAGGCGCTTCCTAAGCCCATTTGGATATTGCTTTGGCACGCCAACAAGCGAACACGAACTTCCGACCAACGATGCTTTAAGCGGTGGAAGGAAGAACGCGAGGTCAAGCGATGACTTGGTCAAAAGTAATGAAGATCCTTACTTCGAAGTTGGCATCAGCTGATGTCACCCGACTGCCGGGCTGGGCTCTCAAGAACGATGAACACGTTTGATCGGATACACTATTTGACATGGCGAAGGGCCGAACTCAATGGCATTTGTGTTGTGAGTTTCTTTGTCCCTCCTCTTCCCGGTTGGAACCTTGCCTACCCCCGAACCACGATCTCACCCTCCATGCTTAATATGATACCTGGCATTATATTCCTTTTCTAAGTTTTTATACTCTGTGTAAGGTACAGTATCATGTCTTTTTGTATTGCGGCACAATAGCTGAGATGTGTTTCTCACGCACAGCTAACGTGTATTTATGATGATGATTGACTGAGAGAATACGTCAAATTAGATAGGGTTTTAAGTCATTGAGATGGAAAGTTTCACGACCCCCATCCAGGAAGGACATAACCTGATCAAATCATGTCCTTATATCGCGCCATCGACTGGCCACATCACGGTTTTGCCCAACCAGGTGCAGGCAACAGCGTATAATGCAAGCAGAGGAGGGCACTTAACTGGTACAAGCACATAACAAACGGACTGAGTTGAAACGCCTATTGGAAACGGTGTCCCTCGCAGTAATCTGTATGATAACGAAGTAGCCAGGTGAAATCAGGCACTGCGAATTGAGGAAGTTGCACACTGAGGGAAAAACTTGAGTGACATGCAAACGATGGGCTCACGTAGCAGGTTAAAAAAGTAACTTGTGAATAAATGAAGGACAAGCAAGTGGTAGATACGCATAACGTTAACTCACCGCTACTGGCTAGGGTGTTGCGAATTTCTTCCAAACGAGTGGCATCTGCCACGGGAGCCGAACGTGCTTGAGCTTCGGTATCAGTGACATCAATTCGCACGCCGGTGCGCGGTTTAAACGGGGGCACGGGTACGGATTGAATTATGGGAATCAGTTTCCCCATATTGCGGCATGGAGGGATACCGAAGGCAAACGCGCGTAAATTGGCCGCTGCAACAATGAAGTCCACGTGGGTGGCCTTAGAAGAACGAAAGCCTGGGTCAAACCGCGAAGGCGAAAACTCTTGAATCATTACATGGGACATTAATCATGCTACGTACTGCTACACAGCTGAATAAAGCACCATCATCATCAACAGCAGTACATCCGCTACTTGGACTAATGCTTCGCTGCCGTACAAGCATAACGACCTCCGGAACAAAGGACAATAAGAAGGAGAGAAAGGTGACCTACGGTAAAACCTTAAGACCCTAAACAAACATTCGGGGTTAAGGAGCCTACATCTTGGCAACAACAGGTCATCACAAACAGCTGCCTATCGTGCAAAGATAAGGTGGCATCGGCGAGAAAGCTTCCTTATGGCTGCCCCGCGTCATAATCAGTCATTAACCCGCAGATAACTCAGCACCGAACACAATTTAAACAGACAGTCTGAATAGAAGATGAGCACAGACACGCCACTGGTGTCGACTACGAGCCATGTCCTATAATGTCGCAAGCCAAGCACAAGGCGGCTCACATGGACTCCAGCTTGGAAAGTGAGACGTAACAACGGCACGGAGTTTGGTCGTAAAGAAAAGAGACAATCGTCGTGCAGATGACAAGTGCGCCGCTAAGTCAAAGGAAACACAAAATAAACGATGAACTTATACCACCTGAAGATGGCCGGTACACGGTACACAGGTAAGCAACTTACGTTGTTGATATCGAATTCTAAAGGATGAGGACAGCGTTTGGTTCCGGACCAGAAATCAGCTCCAGATGAGGTGACATGATCCGGAGGAAAATTGAACAGCAGCTGGGAGATGGTATTTGCGAATAGGTCCTAAAGTGGAAAAAGATGTAGGTGAAGTAGAGCGCAGGGTAACCGGACACTGTTGGGGCGCGCGAGTGTGCATAAAGCGTAGAGTAGCGAGCGGTGAAAAGTAACACAGTCGTGTTCTAAGGTTCCTGTCTGTGCAATGTTTGTAACGCAGAACGGAGCAGTGTTACGACGAAAAACAGGAGTGAAAGTTAGACGTAAAACCCTGCTGAAGTTGAGCGGGCTCATCCGCTTGATCTGTTTCACTATGAAAGAGACCAGCATGTGGGCGAGAAAAGCGAATCACCGAGCCATCTATCGAGGTCCGTAACGAAGTCTGCCCCCCCCCTCCCCCTGAACCTGTTATTACTTGCTCATGCGATACATATGTGAAATGAGTTGCATACCGTCAGGTGTGAGATGCTAAGGATTTAACAGGCCTTAAAGCAGTCAAATTCAGTGAGATCATCGATGCGTAATTGTAAGGGAAATGTGCGAACACGGACAGACCAAATGCACAACAACAATAATAATAATAATAATAATAATAACAGTAGGTGTATTCCCAAAGAGATGAGATACGGCTCGGAAAAGCTGGTCCGATCATAGGATACATTGAAATTTGTACTGTCATTGTAGTGTTGTGTGGATTAGTCAAACACTACTGGAAGCACCCAGTCATTTCTAGAAAAGACAAGTCCGTCATGGGACGCAGGTACCAAGTTCAGCACTGGCTGAATTGGTATCAAACTACTTGCTATGAGTGCTAAAACGGTTGTTTCAATGCAACCACATTCAGAAGTCGTCTGAGGTGGCACAGTCTTGGAAAACAATGTGTTATCGACGTCTGAATGGTTTAAATTCGGTGGTCTACAAACGGCGAAGATCCAGAAAGGAGAACGGTAGCTTAGATAAAGTCGGCAGCTAAGCGACAGAACGTCATGGTATCATAAATTAGAATATAAATATGCTCGAAGAAAAAGTTCACAGTTACTGGTTGTTAGTGATACAGCAGGAAGAAGAGCCCCCTTGCTACTTGCGATCACACAGCATGAAAAGTGAAATCATTCGCCCAATGTGGGCGTCGAAAACCAAAAGCTCTGGTTAAAGGAGCAATGCAAGTCAGGACAAGTATGCAACTGGAATCTAAGGGATGAGAACAACTGCTATGCTTCTTAAACGGAAAATTAAAAAGCGTGAAATGACGAGAGAGAACAGTCAGGTGCAGAGTCGCTACCGGTTTTACAGCCGAACCACTTTGGTGTGGTAGATACTGAGGGCCCCATTAAGGAGACTACATGGTGATATACTAAATGAACACTAAGATGCCGTTAACAAGTCGCACGGATAAGTGGTAAAAGCTTGTCATAGTTCGGGAATAAGGGTGAGCGGCTCGGCTTCTTCAGAACAAAATTAGCATCATACGTTACGTATCAAGAGCATGGAGTTTCTGTCTTAGAATACCGGGTTGAAGGATCGGACAACAGTACAACGGCGATTAATCGTTGGCTACTACAAAGTGGTGGATGCGAAAGAACTGCCACTAGGTAACTGCTGCGCCAAAATGTGGAGCGATATATAAGAGGATGGAGATAGCAAATTCGCCATAGCGGTCTAAGCAGTAACAGAGAGCATGGGATAATACAGAGAAGAAAGGCGCAATTATTGTGGGAGGGTAGCACGAATTACCTCACTTCATTGGGTCGCGAAAGTTGAATTGGCTCATGCAGTCACGCGTGACGTGCGTCCGGAACCCTAACCAAACCTACCGCTCTGATGAGGCAGAGTACGAGAACTGATGGCAATGAAATGACTACTTAGTGATTAGGATGGGAACAATAGCTTAAATGAGGAAGTGATAATCAATCTAATTCGGATACATGATGCGATTTGGGCTTCAGAACACTACAACATGGTTGGCGGCATCCGGGTTCGGATTTGCCTGTCACTGTGGCCAGCGACAGGACGCCTGCGCCTACAGAGGGACCATGGATGGCTTGCACTGCACCACCAACAGCTCCAACCACACACCCCATATCCAGTGTAAACCCGAAGGAATAAGACCGGGAGGCATGTGGATAGGAGCCACGTTTCATCAACGGAGCCAGGCCACACTTCTTCACAGGCAAACACAATCACACTGTATTTGGGGAATCAAGTGCACACAAGGCGGTGGCTAACCGTAGTCCGCTCCACACTGAGTGCACGGAAAAACTCTTCGAGCCTAGCGACCACAAGGAACGTGCACCCCGTCCCCTCCAGCAACGACCAACTGTCTCCTGGAGCCAGATGGACGAGGTAGTGGGTAATAGACAGGTAGGCACCTTGTCAACATGCACATCAAGCGCAGCCACACCTGGGATGTCAAACAATGCCGATATCGAATAAAGTAAACGCATATGACGACATAGATACTCGCTAAATGACCATATGGAAGAAATTGGTTAAATGTGAATACGCGATAAGTAGAAAATGTCCGAAAGTTTTTTTAAAAAGTACCACGCGATAAAATTACACAAGTTCACCATAATTTGCATGAGCGACGTGTGTAAGTTGGGAAAAGGTTATCAAGTACGCAGAACAAATCAAACAAAATGTAATGAATTTTACCCACATTAAAAAGACCTAGTTTAAGTGTAAATTGGTTTAGCCCAACTGCGGTGAAGAAGTATCATGAATGCGACATCAGCGTCAGCAGTGAAACTGAAGGTGAATGCGTGCCGGCCGGGACACGGTTGAGGGACCAAATGTAAGCAGAGGCGAAATAGGGACGTCGCGGTTGCGGGCCAAATGTTTGGACTACATTATACGACGGACCTCCGATATTTGCTTGCCACCCAGTAGGGCCATCAAAAAAGCACAAAGCACGAGAGGAGCAGAAGCGTGATTTGCATCGGACTTTATCCGATGTGGCAGTGTCGTGCCAACCTGAGCACTTTGAGGAGTGAATAAAAAATCGCACAATTCGGAGCAGACAATTTCGCGAAAAAGCCCGAAAAGGATAACTACTTAGCAACGACCTGAAGAGACAAATAAAAGGGTAGTGCTTTCCTACATAAAGAAAGTTCCTAAACTAACAGCACTACTTCATCGACACAAAGTCGCCGTAGCACACAGACCAAGTGTTAACCTGAGAGGGGTGCTTTCAAGACCGAAGGACAAAAACAAACATGCAATCTACCAGATAAACAACAACGAATGTGATAAGCACTACATCGGACAAACGGGAAGAAAGCTTTGCACCCGGATCACAGAGCATAAGAAGGCATGACCCCCTATACATTGGTTCCGATACAAGAGGATGAAGCCTGTCATCATTTTGACCTGGAAAACGTAAAGATTCTAGTACACGAGAATACGAAGCAGGCAAGAGGATTCTTGGGAGCATGGCACCCCAGGAAGAATTCAATCTATCAACTCTACGAGCAAAGGACCGCCAGCATATTCGAAAAACGCTATAGGAAAAGAACAGCATACAAACAGTGTAGGCAGCCTTCTCAGCAGCGGAGACAAACGAGCCATGGTCACGAGTGGAAGAGGCAAGTTCCAAAGGTCACATGCCCAAACGGCTGATGATGATGATCTATAAGAAGCACACGCGTGACTACACGGTTCGCACTGGCCCACGCATCGCCATACTAAACTAAGCTAACCACTAACGTACTGATGATGTCACCACGACTGGTGACGAAACCTATGCAAAATAATTGCAAAGCTCAGAAAACAGTTCGTGTAACAAAGTAAATCGCACAATTTGGAGCAGAGAATGCCGCGAGAAAGCAATGAGCAAAAAATTCCTTTAGAAATGCGGAGTGCGCCTTAGCGACTAGGGGTAGTGTGGATTAGAAAAGAGCTCACCTGCCATAACAAACGAGCCCACGTAACGCAGTCTTCAAAGTTAGTGGGTCGCTTATCAACTAAGTTAGACTTCAATGTCTCCATCGTTTCCAGTGTCTGGTTGCCTGGGCCGGCCAGCGTACGTTCTATAAATTTGTCGGGTTCCTGAGCAAGATTGGAGAGCATCATAGATTAAGTGCCGATACAAGCATAAAACAATAGGGTTTATGAAAAAACAGCGGACACGTAACAGCAGATGAGACGGGGAAGGAGAAAGTGGAGTCATACTGAAAAACTAATTGGAAAGTGAAGTGGAACCATCATGAAAACGTGTCGCAAACAAACGGTAACAAGATGTTGAGACTAGTGGTAGGCAATTTTGTAGGGAAAAATAAAGACCGACTAACCTGTAGGTAAGAAATCATACTTAGGGTTTGTTGAACGAAGATTCCTTCAAAAAGATCTCGTGCCCACTGAAGAGTGTGCTCAATGAGATAGGGGAAATTTTTCAGTGTGCAAGCAGGGAAAGATTTCTCGGGCGGATCCTGAAAATAGAAAACGATTTAAGTGTAGCAGCCATTAAGATTGAAAATCGATGGCGAACGAGCCTAAAGAAATTTAAGGAAGTATTCCTTAGGTTCAACATTATGAGCGGAAAAACATTGTGCTGAGTCAACGGAGGGGAGTAACTAGTCCGAATTCATGTACCTATCATACATAAACATTCAGATAGTGGTAAAGGTAGGGAAAAGACAGTTTGGTTCTAAGGTACCAAGGATGACTTCTAAGGTGGGCAGGGACAGCAAGCGTCACCGACGTCAAACGCCGGTTGATTCCTGGCCTAGTGTGAGGCCCGAGGGAGACTAGAAACTTGACTTAGCGTAGCTGGGTTGTCCAGCCATAAGCCGAATATGGAAGAGCAGTGTGTTCAGTTGTCATGATTGATGTTGCCACGATAATGTATACTGAGACTGAGACTGAGACTGTATTTAAGAGCAAGTAGAAAGGTTTCTGTACAACTCTATCGAATTACAAAAAATCAAAATTTACTTGTGAATTATCAGCAGTTGTGTCTGGTCTGTTGATCGTTTATCCGTGTTCGGTTAGAAATTTGTACTAGCGTCATTATTTCCGGACATACAATGTATTCTTTTGGCACTGTATGTGCATCGTTTCACAAAAGCACAGGTTTCCAAAATAATCGTCGATACGGGTTTTAAAACACTTCACAGAATCGGCCTCTATTAATCCTTCTGGTAGTGTATTCCATAAGTTTACGATTCTTCGTTCGATACAAAGCTGATGTGATACTTTGTTCATGCTGGGGACCCTGAGTTTGTAACGATGTCCTCGGGTGTTACAGGGTTCTCGCAGGTGAAATATTGGCCGTAGTATGGGGAAGTGATTCAAGTGTAGTACTCGATGGGTCATAATAAGATCAATTCTTACTCGGCGATAGGATAGTGTGTAGAGTCCGAGCTTTTCACAACGTTTTTCATATGGAAGCTTTCGTAGACTTGGTATCATTCTAGTTGCGATATGCTGTATTTTCTCCAATTTTTCAGTTTCCCACTGGGTTATCGGATGGTAAGCTGGGGCACCGTATTCAAGGATTGGTCTAATGAGCGAGGTGAATAGACGAGGGACGGTTTCTTCGGACCATGTGGAGAAACTGCGTCGTAATGCCCAGAGCATACGAAGTCCCGCACGGTACAATTTCTCTGTATTTTCTAGTGATCTTAAATCATGTCGTGAGAGAACTCCTAAGTCTCTGACAGATGTGTTGGGATGGAGCAACTGGCCGTCCAAGGTGTATGATCGAGTGGCTGGACGTCTGGTGATACTGATAAACTCCGACTTGCTTGCGTTAAGAGGGAGTTGCATTTCAGTGGACCACGTTGACAGTCGCTCTAAGTCATGCTGGAGGCGAGCGCAGTCGTCCTGGTTTTCAATGATCCTCCAGATTTTCAAATCATCTGCAAACATGACACATGGTGACTGGAGCTGCTGCGGAAGATCGTTGATATGAATAAGAAATAATGCTGGCCCAAGTACAGTTCCTTGAGGCACGCCACTGGTCGATGGGAACCATTCTGTCAGATAGTCATTGACCTGTACTCTAAACCTTCGTCCCACAATAAACTCTTGTATCCACTGAAGTAACGTGCCACCGATTCCGTATGTCCTCAGTTTACGAAGGAGTACCTCGTGGTTCACTCTGTCAAACGCCTTACTAAAGTCGATGTACACCACGTCAACATCCTTCTGTTCATTGAGAGCTCGAACCCACTGGTGGTTTGCGTACATCAAGTTGGTGATGCAGGATCGCCCTTTCGTAAAGCCGTGTTGCGCTGGCGTCAATATGTCCATCGATTCGAAGAAAGACAGCAGACATTTTTTCACAACCTTCTCGAGAACTTTGGATAATACCGAAGTCAAACAGATCGGTCTATAGTTCTCTGTTTTACTCTGATCACCACCCTTGGGAAGCGGTTTAACTATCGAGCATTTCCAGTCGTTCGGGACGGATCCTTCAGAGAGCGATCTATTGAAAAGGTTTGTCACAACTGGTGAGATGATAATCGATAGGGACTTGAGTATTAGCGGGTGAAGTCCGTCTGGCCCGGGGGGCTTTGCACCATTGAGGTTGACGAGTAGCTGATGTACTTCGACTGCATCACATTGTAGGCTGTCGAGCAAGACTGGCGCAACCTGTGCTGGTACTGGAACGGCCGCCGGTTTACTGGAAAATACAGTGAGGAAGTGCGTAGCCAGGGCGTCCGCGCGCTCCGCGCTTGAAATGAGTGTCTTCCCGTCTAAGCTCTCTAAGACCGGTAGGTCGTCTCCAGGTTTCAGTTGACGTTTCAAGTAGGCAAATATTCGCTTGGGTGCAGTTGCGGCCGAGGATGCTAGTTCCTCTTCGAACTGCCGGCGTTTCTTGATCTTTACGGCGTTACATAAGTTACGCTGTTTCTTGTACACCGCGTAATCTTCATCACAACCCGAGCTGATGTATTTATCCCAAAGTTTACGACGTCGTCGCGCTAACTGTCTGTATTCCCTATCAAACCAATGCGGTTTGACAGGTCCGATTTTTGGATACTTAAGGGGAACGAACCGAGTACAGAGCGATTTAAGCTTCCCCTTTATTAATGACCACCACGCCTCAAGTGACGCATCATGTGGTAGTGTCCAATCAGTCTGACTTGCGGCTTGGACGAGTCCGTTGAAGTCCGTCTTCCAATAGTTGAATGTCGGCTTCTGTTGATTGTAATATGGTAACGACAGTTCTAAGCTTGCTACAATAGAGCAGTGGTCACTGTTCGCCAGAGGTTCGATGACTCTGATCTCTTTTAGCTTCTGCTCGCAGCTCGTAAACATTAGGTCCAGACAGGATGCCGAGTACGGAGTTACGCGCGTCGGTTGGATGACATGTTGCGTTGCCCCAATTTCAATAGTCATTTTAGCGAATTGAGCCTCAACGTTGCCATGACCGGGAAGAAGCCGAACGTCTGGCCAGAATATCTTAGGTAAATTTAGATCCCCCATCAGTAAGAACTGAGGGCGGCTCATGTGCTTCTGTACATGTGGTATCCAATCGCAGCAACGGTTTAATGGGCTCCGATAGATAACCCCCACAATTAGTTCTGCGCGCCTGAGACGGATTGTGCACCACAATTGCTCGCATAAACTATCCTCGCTCCGATAGGTACTGATACGTTTGCCAGATAGTGACGATTTTATGTACAACAGAACACCACCGTGAGCCTTTGATTTTCGGTCACATCGGAAACAAGAGTATCCTGACAACACGACTTCTTGGGGTATGATGTCGGAGTTCAACCATGTCTCTGCAAGTCCTAAAATGTCCGGCCGCTCCGAGACAGCGAAGCGGCACAGTTCGGCACGTTTGTTCATTAGGCTGCACACGTTGGCGAATGCGACACGGAGGTTCTGGGAGGTACTGCGGGACGTGCCTGGAGGTTGAGCAACCGATTGATACGGGTTCGTACACCCTTCTTGATCACCCGAAAATTTACAACTTGTAAGTCAGTCTCACCTTCCTCTGTACGGCGTTTGAGGTCAATGACCGCAGTCTTCAAACGATCCCTGTCCTCGGGTTCCAAATCTCGGCGGATGTGAACTTTTATGCCTTTCAGCCTTGACAGACGAGACAGTATGAGCTGCGGCATATTAGGATTTGCAAAGGTGATCCTCAGAGGTCGACATGACTGGTTAGTTTTCTGGCCAAGTCGGATTACTTGTTTAATCGTCACACTGTCCTCGCCCACATCCAAGAGTCTATCGATGAGCCCCTGGAGGAACTCAACATCGTGATCATAACGTATCTGAGGGTTTTCATCTTTTGACTCCGGTACGTGGAAGACACTGGGGAAATTGTGGTGAAGGTAAGAACAAGGGACTATGAAGAGAATTGGAGAAAGTATAACTAACGAGTGGGTACATAAGTAGCCAAAAGCAAGAATAGGAGAGCACGTATATCGAGATCAACTGCAATATGCTATTACGCCACAGCATGGGTTGGCCACATCATGATCCCATTCAACAATTTGTTTGATTCCAAAACACATGCAATAAAACTGGCCGCAACGAAGCGCTGGAAATCCGCCTCTGGTTGCCCCGCTGAATCCAGAAAGAGTGAAGAGCTTCGCAACAAAGCATGCGACGCGTGCGATAACCTCTAGTGATATAACTATGATAGGTGACAGGGCACCTGGAAGAGTGCGTCACCTCCAGCGTTGGTTCGGTTACCGTGAAAGATGGTGTCTCGCAACAGGGCGTTACGCTCTCGAGACGCGAAGTATTTGCCGATAGGCGCACTGATGGACCTGAAGTAGAGTTAGGTCGTCGGTGAGCTACTCAGCAAAAATTTCACTCAAGAATCGGATAAGTCGCTGGTGAAGATTTCGAGTGTGGCACGAACGCATTCCGCTTACGGTGGAGAGTACATAAGGGGAAACACGCAACTTGTACAGGAGTAGGAAGCCGAAGCAGAGATCTCCCAACAGGGCCTTTGCTGGTATATCATTCAGTGGTGAGTAACGTCACGGACAAAAACAGTCGACCTACTCAGGGACGCCCTTCAACTAAAGATGACCATAAAAGACCGCTTGTACATTTGATGAAAAGAGACAATAGTGTCAGTAAGTGGTTGTACTGAAAGCAGTATCCTACGCATTGAATATAGTTGAAAAATGCATCAGCTTTCGTTTCGCAATACAATCCAGCTGGATGCTATAGAAGACTGAGAAAGAAAACACAAGAGCAAAAAACATCAAGTCTTATGCTGGCCCATTAGAAGAGCCGACATAAGGAGGTTAGTCACGTTCGACCACCTAGGCCTCCGCAGTTTGGTTCACATCTGGTGGAAACACCGTGTGAGTAATGCGCGTGTTCGAAGTTTTGTTTATGCATAGGAAGGGGAAATGAATTGCTCAGCGCTGCTATATCACACACGAGACTCCGATGGCTAAGCCACGTGTTGCGCATGCCAGTCCACAGACTCCCGCAACGTGCGTTGTTT